TTCGAGAATGTTAGCCAAATGACGACAAACCTCCAAGCAAGCATGAGACATTCTTCAAACTTCCTTTAAAGGTTTGGACAAAGTCGAAAAAGGTTCGCTCCAGACCTTAAGAGGAGAGTTTGAATCATTGCATATGAAAGAAAATGAATCTATTTCAGATTACATTTCAAAAGTTTTGGCTATTGTCAATCAAATGAAAAGCTATGGTGAAGAGTTGAAGGATGATAGGGTCGTTAGGTAAAAATACTACGATCCCTAGATTCAAAATCTAATTATATTGTTGTTGCTATTGAAGAGTCCAAAGACATGGAAACCATGACCATAGATGAACTTTCAAGCTCTTTGCAAGCCCATGAAGAAAAATTGAAGAAACCAAAAGAAGAATCGATTGAAAAGGCGTTGCAAGCAAAACTTTCCTTCAAGGAGAGGGATGAAAGGCATGGTTCGCAGCAAAGAGGTCGTGGAAATGGAAGAAATCGTGGCAGAGGAGGAAGAGGTGGTAGTCAACCACCAAATAGAGACAATAAAAGCCAAGAATATAGTCAAAGAAGAGGTCGTGGAAGAGGCAAAGGATGGAGACAAAATCAAGGAAGGTATGACAAATCGAATGTTGAATGTTATACTTGTCATAAATTTGGACATTTCCTGGGGATGTAAAGATAATTCGGAGGAGAAAAACAACTTTGTGGAGAGCAAAAATGAAGATGAAGATGCCACTCTACTTCTTGCATGCAAAGAAGAAGAAAGTGTGGGAAAGAACAAATGGTACCTTGACTCCGGTGCAAGTAGTCATATTTGTGGAAAGGAAAATTTATTTGTGGAGCTTAAGGAGCTGAATGGTGGCCCAATCACTTTTGGAGACTTTTCGCGAGTTCAAATCAAAGGAAAAGCTACGATTTTAATTCGCTTAAAAGATGGAAGTCATCAATTAATCTCCAATATTTTGTATGTGCCGGAGATGAGAAGTAATATTTTAAGTTTGGGACAACTTTTGGAGAAAAATTATGACATTCATTTGAAAGATAAAAAGTTGTATATGAGAGATGAAAGGGGAAGATTGTTAGCCAAAGTACCTATGGTTAATAATAAAATGTTCATATTATATCTTCAAAATGATGTTCCGAGGTGCTTGCTTTCATGAAGATTCATCTTGGCTTTTGCATATGCGATTTGGTCACTTGAATTTTGATAGCCTAAGGTTGATGAAGAAAGAAAGCATGGTGAATGGATTGCCAACAATTGTTCATCCCAACCAACTTTGTGAAGGATGTCTCTTTGGAAAGCAAGCAAGGAAAAGATTTCCTAAAGAGTCTTTAACAAGAGCAAGATGCCCTCTCGAGTTAATTCACATGGATGTATGCGGACCTATCAAGCCATCTTCACTAGGTAAAAGTAATTATTTTTTACTTTTCATTGCTGATTTTTCTCGAAAAACTTGGGTTTATTTTTTGAAGGCAAAATCGGAGATGTTTGAAACCTTCAAAAAGTTTAAGAGCATGGTGGAGAAGCAAAGTGGCTATCAAATTAAGTCACTTAGGTCCGATAATGGTGGAGAATTCACTTCAAATGAATTCAAGATTTTATGTGAGAAACATGGAATTCGTCATTACTTGACAATTCCGAGATCACCACAGCAAAATGGCGTCGTGGAGAGAAGGAATCGAACTATTCTCAACATGGCGAGGAGTATGTTGAAGAGCAAAAATATGCCAAAAGAGCTGGGCTGCTGTTGCTTGTGCGTTGTACTTATCAAATCGGTGTCACACCAAAAGTGTTCGTGGAAAAACACCACAAGAGGCATGGAGTGATTTCAAGCCAAAAGTTGCTCATTTGCGAGTTTTCGGGAGCATCGCATATGCACATGTGTCAGATGAGAAGAGGTCTAAGCTTGATGACAAAAGTGAGAGGTATGTCTTCATTGGCTATGATCAAAGTTCTAAAGCTTATAAATTATATAACCCCAAAAATGGCAAGGTCACCATAAGTAGAGATGTTGAGTTTGATGAAGATAATGCTTGGGAGTGGAAATCTAAAGAGCAAGATTACTCTTTTAGTCCATTCTTTGAAGATGATGAAGAAGAAGATGGGGAGCAGGCTATCACACCACCTTCAACACCTCCACCACAAGTTCAAGAAGTTGGGGGATCAAGCTCAAGTTCAAGTGAAGCACCTCACAAGAGTAGAAGTCTCTGTGACTTGTATGAAAATATGGAAGTGGTAAGAAATGACTTGTATGATTTTACTCATTTTTATTTGCGGGTGGACAGTGAGCCTCTAAGCTTTGAAGATGCTTGCCAAAATTCCAATGGAGGGATGCAATGGATGAAGAAACCAAAGCTATAAAAAAGAATGATACATGGGAGTTGGTCACACTTCCAAAAGGCAAAAGCACCATTAGAGTCAAATGGGTGTACAAGCTAAAGAAGAATTCCAAGGGAGAAATAGAAAGGTACAAAGCGAGATTGGTAGCTAAAGGCTACAAGCAAAAGGCTGGTATTGACTATGATGAAGTATTTGCGCCGGTTTCTCGTTTGGAAACAATTCGCTTTGTCATTGCTTTGGCGGCACAAAATCAATGGAAAATCCATCAAATTGATGTGAAGTCGGCTTTCTTGAATGGCCTATTGGAGGAAGAGGTCTATATTGATCAACCTTCGGGATATAAGGTTGAAGGACAAGAAGATAAAGTCTTGAAATTAGAGAAGGCTTTATATGGGTTGAAGCAAGCCCCGCGAGCTTGGAATAGTAGAATTGACAAATATATCCAAGCAAATGGTTTTTATAAGTTTCCACATGAACATGCCCTATATGTAAAGATAACTGAAAATGGTGGCATCTTACTTGTTTGCTTGTATGTAGATGACTTGGAAATAATCCAAAGATGTTTGAAGAATTCAAGAAAGCAATGGCTAGAGAATTTGAGATGACGGACATTAGCCTAATGTCCTGCTATCTTGGAATTCAAGTAGCACAGAGGAAGGATGTCATTTTTATTTCTCAAGGAGAGTATGCAAAGGAAATTCTCAAGAATTTGAGATGGAGAATTGCAATCCCGTAAGCACCCCCGTTGAATGTGGAGTTAAAATATCCAAGCATGGAGATGGAGATAGAGTCAATCCCACATTTTCCAAGAGTCTTATTGGAAGCTTAAGGTATTTGTCATGTACAAGGCCGGATATTCTTTTTGGAGTTGGACTCCTGAGTCGCTTTATGGAAACTCCTACTACCTCGCACTTAAAGGTAGCCAAAAGAATACTTCGGTACATCAAAGGTACGCTTGATTATGGAATTCTTTATTCATCGTCTAAAGAATCCAAGTTCGTGGGATATTGTGATAGTGACTGGGCTGGTGATATTGATGATCGGAAAAGTACTACTGGGTTTGTTTTCTTTTTTAGAAATTCCGCATTTACATGGAATTCTAAGAAGCAACCAATTGTGACTTTGTCAACTTGTGAAGCGGAATATGTAGCAGCTTGTTCGTGTGTTTGCCATGCAATTTGGCTAAGGAGCTTGTTGGAAGAACTTCAGCAACCACAGAAGGATGCTACAAAGATTTTTGTTGACAACAAATCGGCAATATATTTAGCCAAGAACCCGGTATTTCATGAAAGAAGCAAGCACATCGATACGAGATATCATTTTATTAGAGATTGCATATCTAATAAAGTTGTGGAGCTTGAGCATGTGAAGTCTGGAGATCGAATTGCGGATATTTTCACCAAGCCTTTGAAGATTGACGCTTTTCAAAAGTTAAGGATGGCGCTTGGAGTAATGAAACAAGTTTAAGGGGGATGTTAAAAATAGTAATAAACTTGTTTCCATTTGTCCACATTTGTTTAGATTGGTTTACATTAATTTAATGTTTTCATACATATAGTTAGAAAAGAGTGAGGTGTGGACATGTGTGAATTTGTGTGAACTAGTGTGGTCATGTATGGACTAGCTGTTTTTCCAGTACTTCCACAGCTTGGTATGTCTCCCTCTATTATCTTTTCGTCTTTCTCTTTCCCTTCACGGCCCCCATTCTTGTCGTTTCTTCTTTGTACCTCCCCGAAGAGGAACAACAAATTTCACTGAAAAGGTTTCAAATCAAAGAAACCCCAATTCTGTTTCTAAATCATAGACTGATGCTATGAACTCCCAACCTGGTTATCGTCGTATTTGGAAGTTCTAAAAGATTGATTTATACTCTCTAACTGTTGATTTGCAGGTGCCAAAAATTTATTATTGAATACTTTCTTTATTTCTTACATTAAAATTTCTTGGAATTTGAATATTTAGTTAATCTTAAGGGGTTAGTTTTCAGTTCACCTGATCTTCTTCCTTCATGTTGTTTGGAATTATTTATTTCAGTGTTCGATTTATATTTTTGTCACTTTCTATGACTTTTCTCTGTTTCTCCATGTATTCACCCCTCTTCCCAAAAGGTTAGTTTTTCTTTCTCTTCTCTTCTCCATCTGGGTGTCTACGTGTTTCTTTTTGCTTTTTTTTCTTAAGAGTTTGTGTTGAATTCATTTCATGTGTATTTTTTCTCCTTTTTTCTTTTCAGTAAAAGGTTGAATCGATGTCAGGTGTATAGATTTGCTTGTTGTATGTAGGTATTTTTTTTATTTCTATAAACCTCGCAAGAGACTTTGCTGGGCATTGATAAGCATATTAGGATTTTCGATATGGAAATCGAGTTTTACGTTCTGGGTATCATCAAAATTCAACAAAGCTCAGAAGAATTGTGCATTACAGGTTTCAAGTAGAGATTCTTACACTAAATTTTCTCGCAGGGTAAGTTGTACAGTTTCTCGATTGTGATCTCAATTATTGGAAAAGAAATTACATTCTTTAACTGTGCTTCATTCTTTTTATAATTTGATTCTGGGAATTAAATTTATTTTCTTGTAGTTTCTCGAAGGATCTAAGTCGGTAGTAAAATGATCTTCAGGAAGTAATTTAGCAAATCCTTGTTCATCTACAAGAAATTGTAAAATATTTATCCCTTAAAATACACCGGAGATAAAACTATAGTACTATCGGAAACTTGTCAAGTGCATAGAAAATGCACCATAGAAATTTAAATTTGACGAAATAATAATTATCATCACTTCAACTATAATAACTGATCGTGTGAGAGCATAATAGCGAAAGGGAATAAAGGAAATAATCGAAAAGGAGTTTATGTCTAAGGACTGGTTTTGAAGATATAATTTATAGTAGTGCGAGATAATATCACTACAACAAAAATGGCCTAAGGTCACACCAATTTTAGACAACGCTTGAAAAGTGTTGCCAAAAATATCTACAGGACGTTTTTTAAGGGGTGGCCTTTATCGAGCACTTTTGGCCACGGAATTCTAGCAACGCTTACAAAGTGTTCTTTTTTATTTTAAAGGCTACGCTTTTCACGTGTTGCCGATCCATTAAATTAAGGCAACGTTTAGTCACATGTAATGTAACCCTTTAAGGGAGTGGTTGTTTATATTTGCAATTGCGATCCTCCATAAACGTGCTCTAAAGTCCTCTAAAATTTCCCGTTCAGATTTCCCTCTATTTGTTTTTGGCAAAAAGTTACGCTCTAAAATACTCTAATTAAAATATGCCTGTCAAATTTACCCACACAACAAGAAGATCTCGTCCTTCTTCCCTAAGATCTGGCTCTTCTTGTACCTCTCTGTTCATTGAGTGACGCGGGGTGAGTTCGGAGGAAATCGTTGATGGAAGCGATAAAATTCTTCTAATTTCTCTTCTCAAATTTCAAAACTTTCTCTTCGTCTGGTTCTGTGGCTAGCAGTTTCAATTGGGGATTTCGTTTTTTTAGGGTTTGCAGCCGCTGTTGACCTCCATTTTTCAAAGACTTACTTGTAAGGTTTCTCTGAAATTTTTGCTTTCAATTTAATGACTTTTCAATTTGGCTTTTCTGAAATTCCTAAAAATTCCTTTTCTTGCTAATGGTTTCTTTAAATTTCGGTGAAATTCCTCTTTTCTTGTTGAGAGATTTGCATTTTATTTACGAATTCTGTGATCGTATACTAATTTTATATTGGAATTAGATCGATGCTTTTATGTGATGCCAAAAATGCATGGCTTTTGTTTCATTAACCTTCATGTGATGCCTTTACCTCTACTAACATTTTCTTTCATTCTAGGTCGATCGCGAGCAGAAGTTCATGATTCATTTATAACTTGTTGACACTTTCCTTTTTCTCTTGTTGGTATAATTTGAAGTTTTAATTTATTTTTACGCTATTATGGTGATGAGTTAATATGGCGCATCTTTGTTTCTAGACATTTGGTGAAGCTTAAGTGGTTGAGTGTCTTTTCCTGTTACATTTTGATAAACTAGAGTACATCTCATTTTGAGTGCTTATTTGGTCCAATGTTGCGCTTGTGTACTTGAATTCTTGATTTGATACCGTTTGAAGAATAACTTGGTGAGTATGATTAGACTGATTTGTTTGAATGTTGCTGGATGAGACCTAAATAGATATAATTCCCACACATTTGCCTATAAGTATGGCAAAATGCTTCGTTTATTTTTTAGTTACTGTCTGTTTTTTAATTGTCGGAAAAATATTAGTTCTCGGAAAGATAGTAGAGTATGGGATACTGATTGACAAAACTTAATAGAAAAATCCATTGGTAGGAGAACAATACTCAAGTCAGAGATTAGGAGAGCTCACAAAGGTACATAAACTTTTGTTCGAACCTCGGTCATATATGCTACTCTCTGCTCCATTAATTTTTCTTTATTTGATTTAGAATGTGGGGTTGCAACTAATATTAATTACAAATTTTGTAGCTAAGAATCCCTTGATCTCGAGTTTGGCATCATGTCTTGGCCTATCCATGTACACTTGGCAACTAAGAACCCCAGTTCTATGTCTACAGTTTATGTAAGCTACTTCAGGAATTGATTGTTCATTGAGTAGTTATCTAATGTGTAAAGAAAGTCCCAACTCTAATTTAACTAGTGCGGGTCATTATTATTTTTACTATAACATGCTTTCTTGGTCCTGTCATCACTATTTTCTGCGCAATTATTTGTTCCTTTTTCACTTTGATTTAGATTCTCTTACTGTCTTTCATACTTCTAATATTTTGCAAGCTTCTGCAGTTCGTTTCCACTTTGATTTGTATTTCGAATATTGACAGCAAATGATAGTACTTCAAAACTTTCGACCGTATTAATGCTTAACAATTTAGGGAGAAGAAAGCTTAAATAGCTATGGGGCTAAATTATTTTTTAACGTTTCAGCAGTCTATATCAGCTAATTTCAGAGTAGTTCAATGTTTCGAGACTCGGCTGCATATATTGGAGGCTTAGCACGTGAATTCCTAATTTTACACCTCGGGAGTAACTTGTTTGATAAATTTTCTCCTACCAATCTACCAGATTCTAAAGTTTGCCATCTCAAAATTTCTCTTCTCTCAGGTCCGTTTCTCTGTTCACTCTACTTGTTCTCTCCACTTGATTGTTTTTTAGTCGATTGTTGTTTCTGGGATGGTCATTGGAAATCATCATTTTTATCACTTCATTCATATGCACTTCAACATGATTTACTTTTAGCTTATTCTTTCTTCGATTTTCCCTGAACTACATGCTTTCAGGATCTTTCAGTTCTCACAGGTGAGTTTCGTGTTGTTCTTGAGCGCCACAAACTTTTACTATTCCAAACATGTTCATATTTAATTTGCAATTGCTGCTACCAACATTTTATTATCCATGTTGTCATAATATATGCCAAGCCTTCAGTAAGGTGCCTATGATATGTAAATAAAACCCGCAAACTTAGATAGTCCTCCAAATAAACTTTTCTTGAGAGGTGAAAGGAGTATTTAGCCCTTACAGGCTGTACTTAAATTTTTTCTCTAAAATAACATGGACTACAAGTATATTATTGACCTTTTCTTGGTTGGCATAAACAACAATATAGTGTACGACCAGATATTTTAATGTGTAGTCCCACCAAATATGTCTAAGATTGTAGCTAAATTAAAACAATGACTAAAGATGCTCAATATCAAATTAGACTAATAGAAGTTTTTGAGTGAGCTTTTTGTTGCTGCTGTTCTCTTTTCGGTTGCAAAAGAGGGGGGTAAATCAGTTTCTTCTTCACTTTCATAATTTTGTTGGCTATTGTGTTTTGTTGTCTTGTATTCTCACAATGACGAATGATAATCCTGATACTACGCCTTCCTCTTCATCTCCTACACCTCGTACTGTGTTTCATGAGGATGATTTTACGCATCCTTGTCACCCTCTATATGTGCATCCATCGTACTAGGAACTTCTTTGGTTTCTAGTCCGTTTGATGGCACCTGCCATGGCAGCTGGAGGAGAAATGTTTTAGTTGCTCTCTCCATTCGTAATAAACTTGATTTTATTAGTGGTTCCTCTACAAAGCCACCTCCTGGGTCTCCTCTGGCACGCCAATGGCAACGCTGCAATGATCTTGTTTTTCATGGTTGATTAACTCTTTGTCAAAAGAAATATCTCGTAGCGTAGAGTATTCTGAGTCTGCCAAGGAAATTTGGTGTGAATTAGAAGAGAGATATGGTAAAGCTGATGGGGCTAGAGTTTTTGAACTTAAGAAAGAATTAGCTCATATTTCTCAAGGGTCTTTAGACATAGCTTCTTATTTCAACAAAATCAAACAACTCTGGGATGAGATAGCATCTTATAAGGTTAGAGTTTGTACTTGTGGAGGGAAAGCTGCTGAGGATGAAGAGCAGAAGGTTTATCAGTTCCTTATGGGTCTGAATGATGCCTATATGCAGACTCGCAGCAATATTCTAATGACGAAGCCACTTCCATCTGTTGGAAATGTGTACAGCATTCTATTATCTGATGAAAAACAGAGACAGGTATCTTCTGCCTCTCAATTCTCATCTCAATCTGCTTCAATTCATGCTGGGGCTTCTAAGCCCTCATTTCCCTCTAGGTTTTCTTTTGAGGGGACCAGGAATTCTCTTATCTGCAAGTACTGCAAAAAACCTAGTCACTCAATAGATAAATGCTATAAGCTGCATGGTTATCCTTCTTTTTCAAGTTTAGCAAAGGACCTCCTCCTCGCAGATCTGCTGCACATGTTGAGCTTGACTCTCCTGGTGCTAATTTTGTGCCTAGTAGTTCTGCTGGTCCAGCTGAGCATGAAGAGTCTTCTGTGATACCTGGCCTCACCAAGGATCAATACTCCCAGCTGATGACCTTATTGCAACAATCCCAAATTTCTGCTTCCCCACACTCTCCACTTCTCTTGGCTTCTGCTAACTTTGAGGGTGTTTCTTATGGAGCCTGTATGTTATCTAGTGTGAATGGCATTGTTTGGATAATAGACTCCGGAGCTACTGATCATATGACTTTCATTAAAAGTCTACTTTTTGATATAATCACTCTTCCCATTCCTTATCTTGTGTCTCTTCCAAATGGGTACATAGTTAAAGTCACCAATGTAGGATCTTTAGCTTTGTTTCCTGATTTAATCCTTCATAATGTCCTTTACATTCCCAGTTTCAAACATAATCTCATATCTGTTCACAAACTTTTAAATCATTGTGATGATGTGGTTCAGTTTACCAAATCTGCTTGCACATTGCAGGGCCCTTCAGTGAAGAAGCCAGTGGTGCTTGGTAGGCTGGACACTGGACTTTACAAGCTATTTCAGCATGTGACTTCACCTATTGATTCTACTCCTGTGAACTCTTGCTCTTCAGTTGTTTCTTCTTTACCTGTTTCCTCTTTACCTGTACTCTCTACTACTGATGCTGATGTCAATGACAATTCATCTGTAAATACCATGGTTACTTCAAATAAAGTGAATAACTCTGATGTTGTTTGGCATTATAGACTTGGACATATACCTTTTTCAAAGATGAAATTTATCTCTGGTGTTAATTATTGATTTGTCTTCTAAACGGTCCTTCACATGCCCTATTTGTCCATTAGCAAGACAAACTAGACTTCCTTTTCATGATAGTTCTATTCAGTCCACTCATTCTTTTCAGTTTGTTCACATAGATACTTGGGGTCCTTACTCCACTCCTACTCACTCTGGTGCTAAGTATTTCTTTACTATCGTAGATGACTACACTAGGGCTACCTGGACACACCTATTGGGGGCTAAAAGCAATGCTTTTGATCTATTGAAAGCCTTTATCTTCATGGTTGAAACACAATTTCAAACTAAAGTCCAGACTGTAAGGAGTGACAATGCTTTAGAATTAGCTTCTTTTTCTTCTGGGGCCTTTTTCTTTTCTGAAAAGGGTATTATTCATCAAACCTCTTGCCCACACACTCCACAACAAAATGGTGTGGTAGAGAGAAAATATAGACACTTGCTAGAAACTGCTAGGACTCTTTTGTTTCAGTCCCTTCTTCTTATAAAATTCTGGGGAGATTGTCTTCTTACTGCCACATATTTGATAAACAGATTCCCTTTCCCACTTCTCAAAACAAGAGTCCCTATGAATTACTCTTTGGCAAGGCCCCCACATATTCCCATCTCAGATCTTTTGGTTGCCTGTGCTGCTCCACTGTGCCTAAAGTCCATAGAGATAAATTTCATCCTAGATCTATCCCATGTGTCTTTCTGGGCTATCCTTTTGCTAAAAAGGGCTACAAACTTTACAATCTCACCACTAAGTCTTGTTTTGTATCCAGAGATGTCATTTTTTATGAACACATTTTTCCCTTTTTTACACCTTCTCTCTTCACCGTCCCCTACCTTGCCTTCTCCTCTCTCTCCTAATCACTTTTATTATGATTCCACTTCCTCTATACCTGCTTCTGTTTCTGGTTATTCTTCACCTCCTGATCCCACTACTTCTCCTTCTCCCTCTATCCCTATACCTTCTTCTTCTGTTTTAACTCCAACTCTCTCTTCTGACATTTCAGCTTCTACTTTACCCTCTCCTGCTCCTGTTTCTTCTGCTCCATCATCTGATCCTCCTCCTCTTAGAAGTAGTAGACCTCATTCTCTCCCTGCCTATCTTCAGGACTTTGTATGTTTCACACTTCCTACTTCCCTTCTGCCCCTGCTTCTTCTGGGTCTGAGTCTTTATCCTTCAATGCAACCACTTTACAGCTCCATATTCTTGAGTCTTACACTTACTCACAGGCTGTTGTTGTCCCTGAGTGGCAGGAGGCTATGAGAAAGGAGTTTGAGGCTTTGGAGGCTAATAGAACTTGGGATATTGTTGAATTACCCCCTGGTAAAAAGCCTATAGGCTGCAAATGGGTCTACAAAGTAAAATATAAAGCTGATGGGACTCTAGAGAGGTATAAGGCTAGGTAAGTAGTTAGAGGTGATACTCAGGTTGAAGGGTTTTCATGATACATTTTCCCCTGTTGTCAAAATGTCTACTGTGAAAACCCTGATTGTTGTGGCTGTCAAACAGCACTGGCCCTTGTTCCAGCTTGATGTTAATAATGCCTTCTTACATGGGGATCTTGATGAAAAGGTTTTCATGAAAGTTCCTCCTGGCTTGTCTGTTTCTCCCTCTTCTTATTCTTCTCCTCCTTAGGTTTGTAAACTACTCAAATCCCTCTATGGTTTGAGACAGGCTTCTAGACAATGGTATGCAAAATTGTCTCAAGCTCTTTGCTCAGGGGGTATTCTCATTCTTTGAATGACTACTCCCTATTCACTAGGGGTTCTGGTTCTTCCTTGGTTATTTTAGCTGTGTATGTGGATGATATTATTTTTACTGGTACTGATCTATCTGAGATTTCATCTTTAAAGGGCTTTCTACATGAACAGTTCAGGATTAAGGACCTTGGTTCCCTTAATTATTTCCTGTGTATTGAGGTGCTTTATTGTGATTTTGGTGTTCTTCTTCACCAAAAGAAGTTCATTCATGACTTGTTAGAATCATTTGACTCTTCTGCCTCTTCAGTTGTTGTCTGTCCTCTCACTATCAATGAGAAACTACAGGCTTCTGTTGGTGATCCTTTGCCCAAGCCTGAAGAATATAGATGCTTAGTGGGCAAGTTGAATTTTTTAACCCACACACGACCTGATATGAGTTCTGTTGTTCAACACCTTAGCCAGTTCCTGCAAACCCCCCGTATTCCTCATATGCAGGCTGCCTTACATCTCTTGCGCTATTTGAAAGGGACTGCTGATTTTGGCTTGTTCTTCAGTCATTCTCCTGACCTTGCTTTGAGAGCCTATTGTGACAATGACTGGGCTTCTTGTGCTGACAGTAGAAGGTCTGTCACTGGTTTTTGTGTATTTCTGGGTGATTGTTTGGTGAGTTGAAATCTAAGAAACAGCCTGTGGTCTCTCTTTCTTCTGCTGAAGCTGAATACAGGGCCATGAGTAAAGCTGCTGCTGAGGTTACTTGGTTGTCCAGATTATTGTTTGATTTTGGTCTTCCTTCTTCTTCTCCTGTTCCTTTATACTGTGATAACCAGGCAGCATTGCATATTGCTCGCAACCTAGTTTTTCATGAGCGGACCAAACATATACAGCTGGACTGTCATTTTATCAGAAGCAAACTTGGTGATGGGCTGATCAGCTTGGCTCATGTTTCTAGTGATGCTCAAGTTGCTAATATTCTTACCAAGGCGCTTCCTGGGCCTGCTCATCATTTTCATCTTCGCAAGTTGGGGGTTTTATCACCCTCCAACTTGAGGAGGGCTGTTAGAGTATTAGAAGACAATGTGTGATGGTTATATTTTGGGCCTCTTATTGTAATTAGTTTTAGCAGTGGCCCATTCTAGTTTGTATTAGTTGTAATTGGGCCACCGGCTCAAGCCCACTCACTACTAGAAATCAAGTGATTTCCATCCGCAATTTCCGACCGAAATCGGTCGGAAATTGATAATTTCCAACCAAATTCCGACCGATTTTAATTGGACGGAAAAATAATGGTCGCACACGTGTACCGACTGCTATTGGTCGGAAATTTCTGACCGAAATCGGTCGGAAATTTCGGTGGTCGGAAATTATTAAATATTAAATTTCTGACTGTCAGACTTTATTTTCCGACCGAAATCGGTGGAAATTATTAATTTTTTTTTTAATTTTCAAATTTTCGACCGAAATCGGTCGGAAACTATTAAATTTTTTTTCTTTTTTAATTTTCATTTTCCGACCAAACTCGGTCGAAAATTTAAAAAAATAATAATTTTATTTAATTAAATAATTATTTATAAATTGTTAATTTATTTAAAAAATAAATATAAATTCATAATTTCGACCGAATTCAGTCGGAAATTTCAAAAAATTGGGAGAATTTATTCGAAATTTCCGACCGAATTCGGTCGGAAATTATGAATTTCTGAGTAAAAAAAAGTGATTTCCGGTTGGTTTTCAATTACAAAATAGACATAAATCTCATTCCAAAAAGGCCTGAAAGTTAAGCATAAGCTTCCAAATATTACTTCTAATAAACCTAAGTTGACAATGATCAAAATTTACATAAGCTCAAGACTAGTCATTTCAAAGAGCTGGAAAATAGCTACAAATTTCAAACACCAAAAGCTCTATTCCTCATCTACAATTCTACCTCTTCCTTCACTTCCTCAACTACTTCTGTTTCTTCTTTCACTTCCTCAACTACTTCTACTACTCGTCTTCATCCTAAAATTATTAATTTAGATGTAAGAATAGGAAAAGTACACAATAACAAAAAATTAGACTACAATTTCCAAAAATAACAAAGAGAACAAGAACCCTCATTGGCCGCGTGTGGTTTAACATAAAAAAATGAACAAGATTTACATCCTATTCTTGAATCATTTTCAGAATATATCAAATCCATTTCAGGATCAAATTTGACATAACAAGTGAGCTTTAAATATGGAATATTGGTAAGAGCTTACCTCAATAGAGATATACCAAAAGATTTCTCGCACTAGGCCCAAAAGAACAGTACTACAACTCCCAAATAAAAGCAAACAGAAGAAGCAAGGAAATCAGCTACGGATCTCAGCAAAATTGCAACAAAGCAGCAACAATCCCACACGTCTAACAGCTTTAAAAATCCAGAAAGTAAACAGCAGCTCCGAACAATGGCTGGGATCCTTTTGTCTCTTTTTTCCCCTTGTTTTTCAATTTTTTCAGATCTGGGGTCCAAATGTTTGAATCAGAAAATTGTTTCCAATCTCCGTGTGTTGCAAATGCAGCCTCCTGAATATTTGCAGAGTTTTCCGGAGTCACAGTTTAGTCCTAAAGATTATAGTAGCTTTTACTTTTACCCATGAAGTTAGCTTTTTATACATTTTTCCTTTTCTTTAAATACTAATGTAAGGCACCTTCAGGAGCATGTTGAATGAAAAATCAAATTTTATCTTCTTGTTTTTCTCTATTTTCTTTTCCTTGCTTTCTTAGTTCATTTTCATGGCTTTTCCCGTTCGGGAATCGCTACATTTGGTATCAGAGCCGACGATTCTCGGCTATTCATCAGTGTTAATGGCAGAGGCCGGCGGAGGTTCGAATCAATTGGAGCAACAAATTCAAGCTTTTATGGACAAATCGAACAAAAAACTATAATATATAGAAGAATGGTATCAAAATCGTTTTCGAACCATCCATAGTTCACGAAATCAATATGAAGTTCAAAGGTTGGAGAGTGAGCAGCATGTTTCCGGTGACTCGTACGTGCGTCATCAGTATTTCTGTGCAAATTTAAGTCTTTATCGGGACTCCTATGATGATTTCTCTGGTGGATTTGCTAACCCGACGAATGGAGGATGGAATTATCTAGATCCACCCACAAATGCTCACTCACATGTTCCATATGCTTATCATTTTGATGGTAACTATCAGGGTTCATATTTCGTTCAGCTGGGTGATGGTTCTGTGGTATTAGTGAGTGCTGTTGGAACTTTTCCTACACTTAGGGATCAGCCAACAATGTCGACAAGATTCAAGAAGAATAGGAAGAAGAGAGGATACCTCGGTGCCTGCTGTGGTCGTATCAGAAAGCACAAGAAACATCATGGCGGTAGAGTAAACGCGGGCGAAATGAAGCATCAACGAATTCCTTTTGATAAATATCATCTCGATTACTTCGGAAAAGTGCGTACCCGGTATCTTCACAAAGGCAGGAACGTGTCTGAGAGAGAAAGAGCGGGAATGTCATCTCTCCAAAACGACATTGCAGAGGAAGCAATACTGGAGGATGAAGAAGAAGATTCTGTTGTTTATTATGACTGTCCATTGATGGAAATTAAAGATAAGGAGGAAGGAAACAATGGAGACCAACTGTTCGATAAAAGTCCTCAAAAGGACGAAACTGGAGGAGATGGACTTGGGTCGGTGAGAAGGAATGAGAAGGATAGTTATGTGAATATGGGATCTATTGACTGTGAAGGTATAGAAGATCGGGTGTTTGATAAGTGTTCTCAAAGAACCATGCAAACCTTTCAAGAAAATTTAATCCCTACATGTGGTTTAGAGAATGAGGATCCAGTTATCATCAGTGATCTTGAGTTAGTTAGAGGGTGTTTGGAAAATAATAAACTCACTAAACTCAATGCATATGAGTTCCCTTTTGTCGGTACTACTGATGGAGATCGTAAAGTCATTGCATGAGGATGAGGAAACCTTTGAAAACAGCACCGAAGTCTTAGTTGATGTTACCAGCTTCAATGAATTAGTATGTATTTACCAGCCATTCACAACCATTATCACCAAAGAAAGCAACCTCATTCCACATTATGTGATTCCTAGTCTAGATTTCTCTTTCAATGCTGCTGTGTGTTCAAATTCCGCAGTAGATGTTGGAAAAGACTTTGATAGCAAGGATGATTTTGACAACCAGGGCACTATCAGATTTAATGAGCTTCAATTTGCTCGCAATAGAAAGTCTCTTTTGTTTGGAGGTGTGTGTCGTTTGGTTGAGATAATTACTAGAAAATTTGATGGTCTTACGGCTTTCAAAGAGTGTGACGAAGCAAAAGGAGTCACAAAGGGAACCAAATTGTTTGGTACTGTAGTTTCGAAGATGTTTGAAACCGTAAATGCAGCATATCAAGGTCATAATCACATTATGACTTTACTGTTAGAGGATTGCAGCTATGGTTCCCTGCAGGTTAATGCTTTATCCGTCCTTTGGCAACTTGCATATCAACCTCCTAATAACCTGTCCTCCCTAAATTATCTTGTGGCTTTATCATGGGAAGATGCCAACTATTCATTCCAGCTCCATCGTGTGAGACTTGTTCAGTTTGAGCTAGGACAACCACTACATGCTTTGTGCGTGAACACCAATCAGGATTCATCTGGATTTGTGAAAAATTCCTTGATGCCTTTTGTATCCAAGTTCGATGTGGTTGAAGACATCATCACATATGCCATAAGATTTCGGATTCACAATCCAAATATGAGAAAATCCTTTGAAGAGTCGAGGAACCAAGCCGTAGCATATGGAGTTAATCCAGTCAATTGGTGGCTTGAAATGAATTTGGCAACTATAAGTACACATTACTGGACACAAGGCAAGCAACGATAATACTGAGCTTAAGACCGTATGCAGGGAGCCTTATTTTCCAATGATAGAGTGCTTATTAGCTGAAAAAACAAATCTACTGGATGTAAGTTTCTCTGACGTAATTTGCAATGCCAATAAGACACTAGTCTTGTGGTTTTCTCAGTTTGATGAGTCAAACGGGAAAGTGATTGTGGTTGATATTGGAGATGATCTAGTCTTGTGGTTTTCTCAGTTTACTGATTCAAACAAGAACGTAATTGTGGCTGATATTGGGCATGATCTTATTTACTTTGCTATAACGGCAAATCTGGTACGAAAACTTGTCGTTGCTTATCTTATAGCCCATAGTAGCAGCTTGTTGAATTTTGTAAAGCAACCTGAAATGCAGCATAAGAATAGCTTGAGTGTTTCTCGATGCAATGAACGGCATGGTTGATTTTCCATATACCTTGGGTTCCTGAAACTAATATCCTCTGGTTATGCATCATGGCATTCCAGGTACTTCTCACAGAAATGTTCCTTCTTCTTGTTGATCCAGGTGATGCGATGAGACTACATCAATTTCAAAAGGCTCTGTCATTCCAGCTTGGTGCTCTTACACTTGTTATTCGTTATTTTAGGATAAAAATAACATCAAATGCAACAGTAATAACCTTGGAAGTAGACAAAGTGAAAGGGACTGCCCAGGGCCAATTTGAATCAGATGTCCAACATATATTAAACTCATGCTACCAGCCATAGTGGAATCTTTACATCATATTGGAAAGTGTGAAAGTTTGAACTCGTGGTTTGAGTACCCAGTCTTCAATGAAACATATGCCACTAAAGTCATGAGAGAACTTGTTTATGGTGCAAACAGAATTCGGAAATACAAGGATTTGAATGCTATGGTCTACTCCTTACCTTGATGATTCTGGGAAAAGGGCAATTAAGGAATCAGGTACTAATGGTAGGTTTGTTTACTGACAATAGGAAAAATCATGGCAGTCTCATTGACAAAAGATGACAACAATATTGCTACTTTATTATTTTATGGTTTTCAACAGAAATTAAGTGAAAGCATCTCGGTTTTTGGTGGTGACAATTTTGCTGAACTAATTCCTGTTGATAGCAGAAGTATGGAGAATATGGGTATATCTAGACTTAAGAGGAAGCATACTGGAGCATTATACCATTTCCAATTTCAACTGGATGACCATTTGGTAAATGCATTGCTTTTGGACAGTGGTG